GTACAAAGTAAGTATGCAACTAGTCATATATGCAACTTTTAGTTATCTATTTTAAGTAGTTCATTTAAAGATTTTATACTAGCTTTTATATTTGTAATCTGCTAAAAGTTTATCTATTTAAATACTCTGCTGTCTGTATTGTACTAGGCAAATAGTTATCCAGATCTTATACAACTAAGTGTTATCTATTCCAATATTAAGACTTCTTTTATATAGGTTGTTACATATTCTAAAGCACATTACCTAACTGTAAGACTCTGAAATGTCTTTTTGTTAACTACCTATCTACTTTATAAAACATTAATAAAGCTAGTTCTTGTAGAATTTATCCAAACTTTAGTATTTACTTTATAGCATATTTTTAGTACTTTTAGTATACTTTTGTTTTGTTTTTAGATTTTTAATTTAAATAGCCTAATAAAACTGTGATTTGTTCTTGATATATTGAGCCAGTCTAATATTATTTTCTTCTAGTTTAATTTTGGTAACCTGGTTGGTAGTATCTCTTATCTTAAAGTTCTTGCCTATTTGGCTCTTTTATATTGGTATTTATTTCTTAGATCTAGTTTTTATAATAGTATTATTAAAGATTTGTATTATCTTTCTATTTAGGGTTTTTTAAATAGACTTTAGTTTTTTCAGTTTTATGAATTTATATAGCTATAAGAACTTAACTTAGATTTGTACTACCTAATTCTGGTTTGCATTTTTTTATATAATTTTGGTTATACAGATTCTTCATAACTGTTAGTTATATTAATATGATCATAATTACAGATATCTTATTTCAACTGATCAACAGAAAAGTTTTTTTTTTTTTTTGGTATTAAGGATCAACAGAAAAGTTATTATTATAATACATAAGTATTATATAGATAATTATTTAAATTTTTACTATTAATGAATTTTGAACTCTTAACCTACTATTTGGAAAATTGATAACTTATTTACTTTACTAAGTTGCTATACCTATTATTAATTTTAACTACAACTTATCTACTATTTATTTTATATAGATAATTCTTTTATTAATTTTAATATTTTTTAATTTTTTAAAAATATAAAATAAGTTTAAGTTATAATTTTTTATTTTATATACAAATTAAACTCAAGAGGTGTAGCAACCTAATAAAATGATCAAGTTGTTAACCCTCTAAATAGTAGATTAGGTGTTCAAATCTCATCAATAGCAAAAATTTGAATAATTATTAATATAATATTCATATAATAACAACTGTTACTAAAGATTGAATTAGAACATCTGTAATAGTAGTTATACTAGTATGACTGGCAGATCATGAGCCATCTGTATAACTAGTTATACAGAGAAATGCAAACCAAACAAATCAGATTGTGCAAACACTAGATAAGTCTTTGTAGTTATGTAAATTCATTAAAATTAGGTAACAAGAAGTTCATTTAGGAAGATCCAAGTAAAAAGATAGCCAAATCTTTGATAATTCTATTGTAACAACTATTCTGAGAAAATGAATACCAAGGTCATAATACCTAGTCATAGGCAAGAACCTCTGAGTTGAGAGTCTTAGAGATATCACCAATCAGACTGCTAGAATGAACTAAAGAAAAAAGATATCAGGCTGAACTGATATATTAATAAACTAGTCATAGTCTTATATAGGTTATCTGAATTGGAAGTTTGAACAAAAGGCTAAACAAAAGGCAGAGGTATACTAAAGTACTAGGGTTATACTATAAAGTAGATGCTGGAATCTGTATGAACTCTATAAGAACATAGTAGTTAAATAATATAATACTGATTGCAAGTATTAGTTTTGCTATAGCAATATTTAGATTAGTTGTAAAAATAGATACAGAAGGCTTTGAGAGATTTATCTTAAGAATAAAATAGTCATAAAATTAAGATAATCTGGATATAATTTAGTAAATTAATACAGATTACAGATTCAGAAGGTTTAAAATGAAACATCCAAGCAGGTGTATTAAATATAGCAATTGGTAAGAAACTTTTGAGTGAACTTCTTAAATAGGTAATATAGAACAGTTATACATATAGCTAATTGTATACTTTTCTGTAGTAGTTCATAGAATTCTATTATCAAAAAGTCATTAATAAAAGTTGAAAGCAAAGAGATCATTTTAACATTAAAAAAAAACAAATTAAATTCTAATTATACTTTATTAATTTTTATAATATTAACTTATTTTTATAAAATTATAATATATTAAGATAGTTTATTTAACAAGCTTGCTAATTAATTAACTTATAATAATAAAGTTTTATTTTTTTTATTTTTATTTCTTTTTACTATTTTGAAAATCCTTAGACATTTTTAAAATCTGTCATATCTTTTAAAGATCAGAGTTATTATTTTGTAAAGATTATTGAACAGCATATAATCTTTGTATATTATTAAACTGTAAGATAACTTATGCTTTATTAAGTTTGTTATATAATATTCTGAGTTTTTGTTTTTACAATATAAAACCTATTATTTCTTTTGATTTACAGTTTCCTAACTTCACATAACTCACCAGCTAAATTATCTATATATTTTGATATTCTTAATTTTATGTTAAGCTCTCTTAATGTTAATGTTATTTGTTAACAGATTAAATCTTATTTGGTTATTTTTGACCTTGTAACTATGCCAGTTATTGCATTCTTTTTATATAAATCTTGTTTTTTCTTTTTTTAAATTAAAATTTTTTGCAGATCTTTTTTAATCATAGTTTTAGCAAAGTTTTTATTATATTCTGAACTTAAACTTGTAACCTTGCAATTAAGACCCAGAAGTGCTAACCACTATGCTATCAACTCAGAGTCTTTTCTTATATTTTTAACTAACAACTTTTATAATTTTTTCTATTTTTCATTTATTAATTTATTTTTTATTATAATTATTATTTGCTATTCTATTTAAAATATCTTTCAAGTTTATATACTTATACTTTGAACATTTTGATAATATTTTTTTAACAATAAATTATAATTATATCTAATATTAAATAAAAAGTATTATAACTTTACATTAACAATAATTAAAAAATTTTTAATTTTAATTACAATTTTTATCTTTTATTTTAAAATCTTCTAAATTAAAACTCTTTTTGATAAACTATTTGTTTTTTATATTCTTTATAAACATAACTTATTTTAAATTTTTTTCTAATATTAATATAATTTAATTAACTCTTCACTATATTGAGTTATTTACTGTTTTATCTAAACAATCTAATATCTGCTTTTTAATTCTTTTAATGCTATTTTAAATACAACTTCTTTTAACATTTTTGTTAATTTTTTTTAACTTATATACAAAAATCTTTTTATTTAACAATTTAAAACTGCACTAATTTTTTACTTTATTTGATTTAGCTCTATTATTTATAATATTTTTATTTTTTACTTTTCTTACTATTTAACTTCTTTTTTTAACAAGTATATAAACATATTTGAATTTTCTACTGCATTCTATATTCTGAATAATTTTAATCTATATCCTCTATTAACCTATTCTATAAGTTTTTTTATAACTTAATCTTATTTATTATTTTAATCTTAGATATTATTACTAAAATTTATCTTTGAACTACTTAATGAATTAAATATTACACTCCTTTTTTTTATTTTTTTATCTTTATTATACTTTTTTTAAAAAAAATCACCATCTTGTAATAAACTGAATTGGTTACAAAATAATACCCTTTTTTTGTATCATATTTGTATAATTTTCAATTATATTTTAAAAAGTTACATGTCATTCTTGTTATATCAACACCTATATATAACAACATTTTTTAAATTTGGAACCTTTATACATATTTGATATTAAAATGCCTCTGGCTGATTAAACCGACATCTGGATATATTAGGCAATTCCTTTATATTTTTTTAAGGTGTCGATATTATCAGAGTAGCATGTATTCAAATTTACTTTTACCTAATCTTTTATTCAACTTATTTTTGCTTCCGTTTATAGTCAAACTACAGATTAACCGGATTTAACAGTTTATTAAAAACAATTTTTGATCAAGTAATTGCTAATAATTTGTTATAATACGTACTAAGAATTAGATTTATAATTTTGAAATGTAATTTTTTTTTCTACGTAGTTAAATTATGATGTGGACTTAGAGTTGCTAATGAAACTAAATAATGCTGATGAAACTGGTGATTATCTAAAATCTGACTGACTGTTATATTAAATTTTATCAGTTTCACCACCATCCATCAAGAGTTTTACCAGTTTCACTAGCAACTATACGTGGACCTTAGTAAATTTAGTAAAGATTCCAAACTCACAGAATCATCAACTATTATACAAAGTTATCAACTATGATACAGAATCATCAGTTATGACATTATTTGAAGTACGTTTGTTAATTTATTTTTATTTAGTTTTTTTTTTAATTGTATTTTCTATGTAATACGATAGAATAATGATAAAATACAAATAGGCAGAAAAATATTTATAACCCAATTAAATTAATACAACAAAGATTATGGTATATATATACAGTCGACTCATTCTATAACGAACTCTGAACATAACTAAATATAAACAAATTCTTAAAATTTCTGATAGTTCGATATAAAAGTAGAATTATTCTTATAGAACCTAGTTATATAAATTGATATACTGGATATGTATGTATATTATGTATGTATGTGTGTATGTAATAAATTAAAGTTATGTCTTATTTTTATATTTTAATCTCTTTAAATATTTAACCTAATAAAAATACAGAAAATTTTAGAATCAAAGATAATGATTAACAAATTAATTAATTCATAATAATAATAATAATAATAATAATAAATAATAATTACTTTTACTTTCAACGTCTGTATAAAATTGAATTTAGATTTTGTATTGTACTTGAATTTTTTACCCTTTGAATCTAAATACATTGAAAAAAATAAGTATTTTTAGTCAAATTATTTATTAGGTATAACAGTTTAATAAGTTTCTTACCAGTTATTTTAGTCGATTTATCTTGATTGAATAAAAAACAAGTTAGTATAATGATAGAACTAGGTAACGTAATAAGATAGAAAAGAAATTACCGATTGTAGAATTTTTTGGAAGTGGTAAGTCTTTGAAATAATATAATTGGCTAGAATGAGGGCAAGTCTTTAAATCAGCATTTTCTTGAGAACAAGTAGAAATTATAGAAGTTTCGGCAATTAAAGAATCCATATTTTTATAAGAATCAATAGGAGAGTTTTCATAAAATTTTTTAAGCAATTTAGTAATTTCTTTATTAATTTCCCAAGCATCAGGACGATTTTCAGGCACAGCATCCCAACATTGAATCATTAATTTTATATATTCAGATGGAATTTCACCGGAAATTTTTGGTCTTAAACCATTTACTAGATCAAGAGCAAGTTTAGCATCATGATTTCGATCGATGAAAGGTAAATCACCTGAAGATACCACCCACATAATTAAACCCAAACTATAAATGTCAGATTGTTTTGAATATTGTTTGTTATATAATACTTCAGGAGCGATATATGGAAGGTTACCATAAATATTATCAGGATGTTGATCAATTGGTTCGCAAAAACCCAGATCACTAATAAAAAAAGTTCCTATTTGCCTAGCTAATAAAATATTACCCAAGTGTAGGTTTCCATGAATTGAATCAGCAGTATGTAATTTTCCTAATTTATAAGCCAAATCACCGATAATATCAAATTTTTGTTTCCATGTAAGTGAATAATCGTGTTCTATTAAGAATTGATATAGATTACATTCCAAATGATTCAAGACGAGAATATAATCCAGTGTTCCAGGTTCTTGAGTTATTCCATAACACTCAACAAGAACGTCCGCATATTCATCATTACAAGAATAAGAAATAATCTAATATTAGAATTATTAGGATTATTAGGATTATTAGAATTATTAGGATTATTAGGATTATTAGGATTATTAGGATTATTAGGATTATTAGGATTATTAGAATTATTAGGATTAATGGAAAAAATCGGATACGTTAACATCCAATCAATAAATAAAATAAATAAAATAAAATAAATAAATAAATAAATAACTCAAGATATTACAAGATATAAATGTAAAAGAAGAAATAAAATACCTTTTCTAACCATCTTCCATCCATTTGATTAGAATTTTCCAATTTTTTTAGAACGACATAACGTGGACCCACACTTTCAAGGGTAAGATTCTCAGAATCCCATTTAACCAAACCATTTTTCCAAATAGCAGAATATATTGAAGCATAACCACTTTTAGTTTTAAGAGTAATTTTTTCGAAATCATCATAAGGTATCCATTTAAAAATTCTTTCTGGAGATGAAACACACATTTGACTTTTACGAATAATAATATCAATTTCATCATTTCCTGAAGTCCAATTACCGAAATCGACATTTAAATAATCTTGAAGACAAAATTCACAATATTTAATGGAATAAGTCCAACTTTGACAAATATTACATTGACGTTTTTCATCAGTGCTAGTGTTTCTACGGGAAGATTTCCAACGAATTTTAAATTTTTCGAGACGGTTGATCAAATGAATGCGTTCATGATCCATAAGAGAAGGGTCACTATGAAAAGAGGATCGGACGGATTCGAATTGAAGGTCAGCAGTAGGATATTTGTCTATATTTACCAATGCCCATGATCTTTTCCAGGATTCGTTTATTTTATTTTGATTTATAACATTAACGTTAGGATCACTCATTTTTTTTAATAATAAATAATAATAATAATGAAATGAAAACTTTTTAGATGAGAGTAAAAATATAAAGATAGCATGGCAAAGGGAAAAAACCAAGGTTTATATTCTAAATTGTAAATTCTTTTTCAATAAAATATTTTATTTTAAGCTTAAATATTTATTTAACTATAAATTTAATAGAACTTTTAAACTAGTTAATGGTATAAATTCCGATATATAAATGCGTTAGAGTTTCATACACCTTTTTCGGCAACTCAATTATTGAAACATAACTTAATAGATACTAGATCTATTTTTACATTCTTAGAATACGTGCTGTACGTACGTACGTACAAAAACCTACGTACAAAAATGTACGTACAAAACGTACGTACATGTAGTTACTGTATAACAATGCTTTATACAAAAGGCGTGTTTATCTTCTTTTGGATGGTCGCATTTAATGTATATGCATGTGACATGATAATTACACAGTTTGGTTTATAGTATACAATTATTATAATTACGGCAATTATGCTTGCCATTTAACCGTTATATATCCAGTACGCACGCACGTACGTATGTACAGTATATACATACGTACGTATCAGTATCAGGTATGTAAATTATATAGATTTTGCCAGTTTAATATCAGATGATACTTAATACGTATCTGTGACTAAGAATACGTATTCAAAATTCTTAATTCAAAAAAGTAATATAAATATGCCAAGACTTTATTATTAACCAGGAGGAGGCGTACATGCTCAGTGTTTCTGCGTAATTTACAATGTTCATATAATGCATGCGTAGAATTATTTTTGAGTGAAACTGCAAACTATAATTTTTATAAAATTATATATATTTATAATTTCTAGGATTCACAGCAGTATTAAGAATATATATCATACATACTAACTGGACTACGTACGTATAATAACTTACATGCGCACTAACTAATTACGTATAATATATTTTATGTTAACAATAAAAATTGTACTTATATGAATATTATTGATCGGAAAAGATAGACCGACGAATTAAATGTATAAGGATTTATAGAATGTACTAGATATTATCCTTTTTATCATATGTTTCGAAAAGAAAGTCATAATAAAGTCGAAAATTAAGGTCAAAATGAAATGCTATTGATGAAATAAAAACAGTACGTACTATTGCTAATTCTGATGTTTGATTAATCATATTCTATTTTGAATTTAGTTTGAACTTTCAGTTTGAACTTTTAGTTTGAATTTTAGTATGTACGTATGTAATTTTAGTTTGAATTTTAGTACGTACCGGTACGTATGTAGGAGTACATACAGTATTCCATTGTTAGTTATATAATAATGTTATAGTTATCCTCTTATGTTATCGTTATGTAACACTATGTATTGCTATATATGACTATATATTTTGCTATATATGGCTATATATTGTTACATACGTATTACTATGTATTGCTAATTCAAGTCGATGGCAAGAATTTTTTTGTCGATCATTTTTTAGCAATGGGTAACATAATATTGTACAAGAAAAAAAGTTTTGATTGTAAAAGCTTAAAATGGTAAAATTTAGGGTAATAAAAATGCTTCCGTATGTCAATAAACTTTAAAGGAAAAAACGCCTTCATTATATACGATCGATCTTAAGAACATTCTTTTTACCTTAACGTTAAATGCAATTAACTTTGTTAACGTTAAATATAATTAACTTTGCTAACGTTAATGTAACGTTTAAAAATACACGTACGCATAATCATAAAGAACGTAATATTACCATTTTAAGCTTCTTGCACATTGTTTTTCAAAAATTACCATTGTAACAGTTGTATCAAAAGCAATTCAATTTTAAAAATGACTAAATAATAACGATATACTTGTTACATTACTGTTATAATCAGGATAGCTAAGATAACGATTTCTCTACGTATAAAACTTTTGATCAATGATATCGGCCCCCCTTACAGCGGAAGTCGTGAGCTTAAGATTTTTTTTATACGTAGTAAATATTTGCTACATACTATGTTATTATGCTTAAAAAAAATCAAAATTTAAAAGTTCTATTTCTTAAGTCATAAAATACTATTAATTTTAGTTATGTAAGTAACATTATAGTTTATCAGGTGACTTTAACCTGGGTGAAAATATAATTTCCTTATTATGTATAATGATATAAATCAGAAAATTATTATTTACTAAAAATTTAACTTTTACTACATACGTACGTACGTATTATCTATTATTATCGCTATATCATATGTTGCAGATATTTCTATAAAAAATACCTTTCAAGTCCGTGATAGAGTTAACATCTGGATTTATTTTTATATCCGAACATAATTAAGCTCCAAAAACCTAACGCTTAATCCGTTTTAATCCGGATATAATTAAATCCGATGATATAACGATAGATTAATCCGAATATAATTATACGTAGGATTTTACTAAATCGCACCTATGGTGTTTTACACCTACGCATGCATTATCTCAAAACTGGCTAATTAACCAGTACGAGGTGTTCTAAGTAAAAATGTTCTAGCCCTAATACTAATAACAAAAGCAGAAGCCTGATTCCTGCCTATCGCTACGTCAGTAAATTCGATTTTTTTTTAAATCCGGATTTAAATAAATCCGAATCATATATTCAATTCAAATTTAAATATTTTAACTATTCTCATAAATTCTGGGACAACTGATAAAAATTTACCAACGATTATTCACTTGAATTCGATAAGTTTTTGAATTCGGCATTACTGTAATTCCGAATTCAAAAAACTTTCGAATTCAATCAAATAATTGTTGGTAACTTTTTGTCAGTTGTCCCTGAATTGATGAGAACTGCTGTAAATCCGGATTTATATTCAATCCCGGATATACATTATTCCAAAAATTCGGTTTAATATATAAATTCGGATTCAAGTGATTCAAGTGATTCAAGTGTTAACTCTAATCAAAAGTTGAAAAAAAAATTGAATGAAAAATTGAAAGAAAGTATGAACAAATACAATCGATGGCACAGCCACATAACCTTTCGACAATCGGAGTCTAACATACGTATCCTTGTTTCTTTCTATTTCGTATTTCTTATTGTATATATTAAGCTCTATTCATTTTTAGCTGTTATATATCTATAATAAAAATCACTTTAAATACAACATGTGTAATACAACATGTATGTTTAGGACTCTTAGAAATTGTTTCTAAGTTAATCTCTAACGGCAAATTGAATAGAACTTTATTTATACTCACATAAAAAAAAACAATGTTAATCCTCTTATGTAAATGAAAAAAACTGGATAAAAATAGCTAACAAATAAATGTCATACGTACTGTATTATTCTACGCAGCTTATGATTTGTAGATTTCATATTTACAGATGCTTACAGATGCTCATTATCATTAACATCCATAATAAACCATAGGTATAATGACCCTGAAACCGGGATAATCAGAATTTGAATACACTAACGCTAATTCTGATCGTCTATTTTTTTTTTTTTATGTTAAAGTCAATTTTTGGCTCCATTCGTTGCTTTTTTTGACTTATCATTATTACTTATTGTAATACGTGTTAGAAATTTATTATTATATACAATGAGAATAGTTAAAAAAAAAACGGGAATGCCAAGATTTACAAATGCACTGTAATTTTATAGGTTTTATATCCATTTATTTTTTATTAATATAACATTTAAAAATGTAAAATGTATTTTTGGCATAAACTTGTTTTCACAATAACTTATTTTGAATTAGCGATGGTTTTCGTTTCTTAAAAAAGAAAACAAATTAGTTGATATTTTTTTCTAAAAAGAGTAAAACAAAAAGTTGAAATATATAAAGATTATGAGATCGGATGTGCCTTCAATTTGTGGTTTTATCAATATGAACAGTTGCAATTATAAACCTACACATATTAGGTTTTTAAAAATTATAAACTATTATTGATGGTAAAAAAACGGTTGTTTATACTTTTTGATTGGTTTAAAATAGTACTCCGCAAAGCAAGTCAAAGTTTGAATTTGAATCTAATATTTGAAAATATTTGATCAAATTCTTAAAAAATTGATTAAATATTTTCAAGTATTTGATTCAAATCCAAATTTTGACTTGATTTTGCGAAATACTAACTTAATCCAAATTTTACATCAACAGTTGATATTAAATTTGGAACTGAAATTAAAACTGCTGCTTCTGATTGGTTAATGTCAGTTTCAGCAAAAATGTATTCTTTTTTAAAAAATTGAGTTGTTGCAAGTATTACCATTGCATGTAAAAAAAACCTTAGTGTTATGAGAAATATATTTTGAACAATTTAATTTATTTGCTTATATATATATTTTTTAATGTTAAATTATTACATTCTAATTTTTTTGAATTCTATTATATTTTTTGATATTACAAGTACAAAGTGTCTGTATAATTAGCTTTGAAATTAGGAAAAATATAATATACCGCATATTTCCGAAAATAAGCTACCATTTTTGGCTAAAAAAAAGTACAAAAAAATCACTAAATAGCTTATTTTCAAATTTTTGAAAAATTAAATATATTTGTAAATACTTTTCAGATTTTATATAGCTTTTAAAATATATGTATTTTAATGTTCTAAAAAAATTTACTTAAGAGCCAAAAGCTAATTTACTTAGTTAACATTTGCCTTTTGTATGTAGTAACTGTTATGCATATTTATGCAACTGAAAAAATAGTTTTTTTTAAATGTAACTTATTTTTAAAATATATAGTAATAAAAATAACAAATTTTTATTTTTATTTTTTTTTTATGTTAACAATTAAAATAAATACAAATCAATAATAAATAAATTGCATAATTCATAATTATAATTATAATTAAAATAATTAAATTATAATATAAAAGTAAGTCAATAAAAACACATTAAATTTTTTTCAAATAAATTTTTTGAAACTTTAAACCTAAATAACTTAGCAAAAACTTATTCATATTTAATATTTTTTTAAAAATTGATTCTAAATTCTTATAAAATTTGTTTAAAAATTTTTTTT